ACAATAAACCGCTACAATAACCCAAGAAGGATTACTGTAACATTAAGTAACAGCTAAAATAAGAAAAACAAGTTCTATAAAAATCTATAAAGATCTATAAAGAGCTATAAAGATCTATAAAGTTCTCTAAAGATCTCTAAAGTTCTCTAAAGATCTCTAAAGTTCTATAAAGATCTATAAAGATCTCTAAAGATCTCTAAATTTCTATAATAAAGTTCTATAAAGATCTCTAAAGATCAAAATTTCTAGAAAGATTAAGTTATGAAGATCTACTGTAGGATTACTATAGCTTTTTGAGGGAAATCTTAGTTCTGAATGCGTGTTGTTTCCAGAAAACTTTCCGATTTCAATCACAATGATTTCTTATGGGGTTTGAGAGCAAGAGAAGAGATTTATGATGTAATTGTGAATGTGATTTCTCTTGATCATCGAAAATTTCGAATACAAGATGGAGTCAGAAGATATCTTGAAGGTAAAGGTCAAATTACGAGATTTTCTAGAACTAAACAATTACAGCAAAATCGAATCTCTCTCCAAACTCGACGAGTGATTCTTTTCTCGAAAATCTTCTTCGTGAATAATTTATCGAAATTTAAATTAAACGGGTATTTAAAAGAATCTCATGTATTTCATTTGTTTTATAATAAATGAAATTCTTTATCAATTGACCCTTACTTTATTGGGAAATCAATAAAATGTGATAACGTGATCATGGTGTTCGTTTTTTGAATTCAAATTTTCAAATAAGAAAGTGAACACTCAAGTAAATGAATTTGTGTTTTTAGCTCTTTAAAATAGAGAATTTTTCGTAATTTTTGCTAATATTGAAAAAGAGAAAATGAGATTTTAAAGAAAGATTAGCAAGCTGATTAGCTGATTAGAAAAAAAGATTAGCAGGCAGCAAGATGTCTGATTTTGATGTTGAATCACATTACAAAAGTGGCATTTTAAAAAATTAGAAAAAAAAATTGACACATTTGTAAAAAGTCGAATGTTTAAAAGTGTAAACGAATCTTGACAGGATACAGATGTTTTTCTTTAAGATTTTAACTCACGTTCTTGTACACCGGTCGGTGAGACGAAAATCCCAGAGCCGATAATGCATCCAACGATGATCGTCACACCATTGAACAACGTTAAACTTTTTTGCAAACCCTGAAATTTTTCAATTATTAATCGTTTCTATTGCTTTTTGCAAACCCTTCCATCTCCCTCATTTTCATCATCAGCATCTCGATTCTTGACTCGTTTCCCATCTTTACTCAATGGTTGAAGCTCTTGGGATTTCTGTTTAGGCATCTGGAATTCAAAAAAAAAATGAGCAAATAATGTATGAGTTAAACAAATAAAATTATTTCTATTAAAAAGAAAAAAGGAAAGAAAATTATATATTAAAGTAGAACTAGTTAAAATTCAAATTAAAGGCAAAAAAAAACCATTAAAACAAAAAAAAAGCCATCAATAGAATAGAAATAATAGAAATAGAAATCATCAATGGAACCATCAATCGTTATTAAATCGCTATTAAACCATCAATCGTTATTAAATCGTTATTAAACCATCAATCGTTAATTTCAAGACTTGGATTGTTTTTAAAAAACTTTTATTTTACTGTCAAAAATCCGCTTATAAAAAGTGGCTTTTTTTCGATATGAACTCCTTCTTTGTCTAAGAAATTATAGCTTTCAAAAAGTATTATTTTTTGAAAAGAAATCTGGCGCGAAAGCGTATGTTTTGCTGAAAGGGTTAAATAAAGAAGGGAATGGGGAAGGAACGGTCGGCCAATCTGTGGCCATCCCCTGCCCTTTCTCCTTTCAATGCCACAGTGCTATCAGACCGCTCTTTTCTTGCTTCTTCCTTCAATCTCTGCTTTTTTTGCCGCTTCTCTATTTCTATTCATTCAAATCAATATGCATATAAGAGTGTATAAGCCAGCTTTTGCATCAAAAAACATCTTCTGGAACGAATACAACACAAATACAAAGATTAGTGATACTCTAAAGAATAAAACTGTCATTCTATTAAAAAATTTTTTGAATCCAGGTTTACTTTGCAGTTTTTGATGTTTTTGATGTTACAAACCAAGATACAAAATCATCTAAACTCATTGCTATACAGTTATTCATAAAGTTTGTATGCGAAATAAAAATTTGTATTAAAAATGTAGCATAAAATCAATACTAGCCACATGTAGATGATTCTTTTGCACATTGGAAGCTTCTCCATTCCCTCTTCCATTCCATTCACTCATTCAACACAGATAAATATACAAAGAGTTGGACACAACTGGATTGAATCAGCTAAACAAACGGATAATCCAAAACAAATTGTTGACATTTACTAATAAATTTTTGGGTGGAGTAGCTATTCGAAAAGTGATCGGACAACCATACTTATGAGAAAAAGTAATGAAGATTACGGTAGTTTGGAAATTTCGCATGTTTTAGAAAACGTTAACCATGTTTTTCTTTCTCGCTCTTGTTTTTGCTGATGACTCCTATTGCGTAACGTTCAAATGGACTAGATCTTTGCAGAAAAATTGGATTCGATTATTTGATTAAAAGTTTGATACTGTATCGTGAAAATGAACTTTTATTTGTTTTCTATTTGGTGGATACATTTCCCCTTCTCTCTCAAACACAAAAAAAGCAAACACAAAGATAGCCGCTTCTTTCTCTCTCACAGAAAATGAATAGCCGTACATCGCGCAAGCCGTGCATTTTAGACTTACCAGCTTATACTTGGCTTCGTGCAGACGGATTTTATTTCCTTCATCCCTAGAGGAATCGAACCCGTGACCTTTCTTACTCAAAAAAGTGTAAAAACAAAGAAAGCAAAAAAAAGATTGCATCGGACCGGGATCGAACCCGAGACTAACCGAGCCCAACGTTGCCCAACTTGGCAGATCGGACATCGGGACGCACTACCACTCGGCCACACGGTAGCATGTGTTCTTTAATTTTGCTTTTTAGGAAAAACGGTCAAATTATGTGTCAAATATTATTAGATTTTTGGAAACTACGTAAAAAGTTAGGTTTGTAATGTCAAACTTTCAGATCGATTGGTTGAGCCGTTTTTTCTAAAACAGCGGAACAGACACACATACTCTCTCGCTTATAATAAGTAGGATTTACTACCGTAAATACTGTAATAGTACCCGACCCCCCTCGTACAGTCGCGTAATCGCAAAAGTTTTTTAGTATTTCATTTTTTTCCAAGCGTCCGTACTTTCAAAAAATGCGTCTTTGGTATCAAAAAATAGCTGAAATTCAGGGCTACTTTTTGATACCTAAGTGCGCATTGTAGCATAAACCAGTGTCGAGAAAAACTCGTTCCAGGCTAGACTACGTAACACTCCGCACCGTCATTAGTGGGGGTGGGGTACTATTACAGTTTTTAGGGTAGGTTTTCCAGAAAGTCTTTTCGTTCCTTTTTGTAATTCCGTTTTAGTTCATTCGGACGTTTAGGGTTGTTTATGGATTAATGTAACATCTAATAACTTACCGTAAATACTGTAATAGTATCCGACGCCCCTCGTACAGCATCGATTTAGCTAAAATGATGAAGATTTGAAATTATCAAAATATTTGAAGAAGTATACTTTTCAAAAAGATTAGTTTTTCTTTTATAGATTGGTCTTCAATTCAGATTTTATAAGGATTAACGTATCGTAAATACTGTAATAGTACCCCACCCTCCTCCTCGTACAGTCGCGTAGTCGCAAAAGTTTTTTAGTATTTCATTTTTTTCAAAGCGCCCGTACTTTCAAAAAATGCGTCTTTGGTATAAAAAAAATAGCTGAAAATCAGGGCTATTTTTTTGGTATTTAAGTGGGCATTGTAGCATAAACCAGTGTTGAGAAAAACTCGTTCAAAGCTAGACGACGCAACACTCCGCACCGTCATTATGGGGCTGGGGTACTATTACAGTATTTACGGTAGGTATTAGATATGCAAACAATAAAAGCATGCAAATTTTAAAATTACAAATTACAAAAGAATTTAGATTTTCAAGAATGTTTCATTTCCAATTTCCTAAGTACTTGTAAAACATTTTGGTACTACCTAATAAAGTGAGGTGCTAGCAAAAGCGCCAAATTATTTCCGTCGCGTATCATTTGCGCCAAATTTACGCTTTTCAACACATTTTCCTAACAACTCTGATTGTTTATTTTTATTTTGTTTACTACTTTTTCTCGTCGACGATGCTCGCTACTTTAACGCATTCGCCTTGCCTTTTACAACCCCAGAAAAACAATCGAAAATCAACGTATTTTTGCCATTTCGCATTCAAATTTTGAGGTTTAAATGAAAATATTTTTACGTGATTCTAGGGAAACTTTTTGTGTAGAATCCGAAAATTCCCATCCAAAAACTTGAATGCCGCGTTTTTATTAGGAAAATGCGAGTTTTTCAAAAGCTTGAAAGATTTTATTTTTTATTTTAAGCTTTTATACAGTGGTCCACAAAAGTAATGCCCCATTGCCATCTAACAGTATGTTTTGTAAGGAAATCTTGCAAAATCGGCATTTCAGAAAAAGAGTAGGGCATTTTTACCGACCCATAAGACTCGACTTTTCAAGAATATAAGATTTATCCGTATAATTTTGCAAAAAATACTTTTGAATGGCAATGGGGCATTACTTTTGTAGACCACTGTACATCATGGCATAAGTGGGAGAGACTTGAATGACTAAATTAAACACTACTAAATTTGATAAGTCCCGCTCTTATGCCCCAAAGCTACTCACATTTCCGGGGTCGGAAAAGTCAACTTTTAATACGCAAACTTATGTTAAAAATGCGATTTTCGTGATCAGCGCCCTCGATTACCCCAGAAAAAAAGTGTTCCCAACTTTATTAGTACCAAATTATTAAATTTTTGTGTCTATTTTAGCGCATTTGATTACTTTATGTTTTAAATTGTTTACATTTGATAATCTTCAAGTTTTATTTTAGTTGACGTCCGGCGGAGTGACACAACCGGATAATTGGTGAATGATGGGCGACAGGGATGAAGGTAAATCATTTTAACTATAAATTTCACGTAGGCTTCCATGCTATTTTCAAACTTTTAAGGTTAAAAAGCTTGGGGTAAGTTTTAGCGTTTTTAAAGGTGTTAATAGTTAATTTTTATATTCCAGCTGTTCCGAACACCGAAGAATATACGGTCGAGGAGATTGTGGATCATGCACGGTTTGATTCTGATTAAACGGTTAAACATCAATAAACTGAAATATTCTTGAATTTCAATAAAGCTAAATAGTAGTGTAAATTATTCATTAATTATCTGATTTAGTTTCGATGATTTGTACTTTCGAAAGCTGATGTATCTCAAAAATCATCACGCGGCTACGGACGAAATTATGGGGCGCTTCGTCCCACGAATCAAAAAAGGCGAAGAATGTAGCAAATATGTTTACAGGGTAAAAAAAAAAGCAATTTGCATCTTGTTCAAAATCAATATTTAGACGCGTTGGGCTGGATATCGACCAGACGAAGACACATGGGAGCCTGAAGCTAACTTTTGGATAGTTAGTCTTTTTCTACATTTCAATATTTTGCCAGAATTTTAGCCCGACAGCAATGGAAAGATTGAGGCGAATGAGCTCCTGACCACGTACAAAGAACCGCTTGGTCTGAAAAGCACAGGCAACCGCAAAGGCTCTGCAAGAAGCATACGAAAGAGTTAACAGCGATTCTTTGTCAAAGTCTACGGTATTTATTGGTTTTATTTTGATTTTTTGATACCAGCCGAAACCCGAAACCGAAACCTACATAACGGCGGGTTTTTCTGGCTGAATGTTTTGAGGCTGACGCATAGTTTGATCTCTCAGGTTAAAGGTCACTCGGCGCGCCCTCCGAGACCCCTGTAACAATTGCTTCACCGTGAGGCAACTCAAATTTGCATACTTCAGCTCCATGCTTGAAAACATTGAAAGCAAAAAAGTTTGGAGTTAACAGGAATGAACTCAGCTATCCCTTAGGGCGATCTGGGACGCTAACCACCTCCGGCAAGCCCTCCGATAGACTGCCGAAGCAAAAAAGGGGCGTGGATTAGCAATTTTAACTTTTTTAAAAAGTACACGATGAAATTCTTTCATTTTTTGGGGGTGACGTCGGCAGAGCGTTTAAAAAAAACGAAAAACGGAAATAAAAAAAGCTAAATTACTTACGGTTGGTTCTCACTTGCTACTAAAAACTGGCACGGTATTTAGGAGGATTTCTAATTTTTAAAATAATGAGAAATATTTTAGGAACAATGGGTGAAGAAGAAAGAAAAAGAGGGCAGTAGGAGGAAATCGTTTGCTGCATTAAATGGCTCTTCATCTAGCGTTGGTTCATTGTATTAAGTAAATCGGTTTCTTGCTTTAGGATGACGAACAACCGCCGAACAGAAAACCATTGAAAAGGAATACTAGCAAGAAGCTGCATTCAACTTCGGTAAGGCTGAGTTTTGTTCATTTTTTTTGGGTTGATCTTATAAAACACGCGGTATTTTTTTCATGGGTGCAATTATGATCGTTTTAGAGTAGCTCAAGTGACAAAAGTGAAGATGAATCGAGTCAATCATCCGATGGTCAACCATTTTATTTCGAGATTCCTGTTGCGGTTTGTCATTTTTTTGAATAATGCGTAATTGAAAGCTGATAAATTGAAGAATTAGCATGTACATAAACTGTAATAATTTTTAGGAAACATATGCTACAATGAAGGCAGATGAAAGAAAGAAGAAACAAAAAGAGCTCAATCGAATTTACAAGAACGTGAACGGTGAAGGAGTTTGCTTTGGAGAAGAAATGGTAATTTTTATTGGTATGTATCGATTACACTGACAGCTTTCATGCAAATTTTATCAAACGGTATCAAAAAAGTGATAAACTTAAATGTTTTTTACCAAGATTATTTTTTGCCATGGCGGAACCGCGCAATTCTAAGGGGTTGGGGTACCCGTGCGGTATCCCCCCCTCAACTTTGCACGATCCCCCGGTCAGAAAGTGTTTTTAATCGAGAGAGCATGCTTTAAACTATATTAGAAATGAAAATACTACAAACGCTTCAAAAAGGCCCATTATTCGTATATTTGAAAAGCGGCCAGTGTAATCGATAAGTACCTTTGCATTTTAATTTTGCATGCTAAAAACGTGTTTTCTAGGAAAATGATACCAACAGTAAAGTTCAAGAGAAAAAAAATTTGCCTGCAGCATCCGAGGATTCTTTTATCGAGCCGCTACAAAAAGACCCAATAAAACTGAAAATCAGAATTGATCCGCTTGAGAAACTTGTCACTTGTACGCCAGTTGATAGGTAAGGAAATTTGTTTTATTTAAATTGTTTCATTTGTTGTTTTACTTAAATTGACCAATTTTTTTAGAGCACGAAAGCAAACTGTAGATGAGTCTAAAATTCGACCCAAAAAGCCATCAGTACAGAATAAGCCGCAACAGCGAAGTTAAATATACTTTAAACCTTTAAAAATAATTTAATTTTTGATTCTTTGCCAAGAGATGGTGAAATTGCCAAGCAAACACCTTACTTCAAGAAGCAACGATCTCCACGATTGCCGCAGGAAACAGTCGAGGCCGAAAATGTTACCAATACTGGTAAGGGCTTATGTATTATGTATTGAATCCCATTTTTTAGTACCTGAAGCTCTTCAAAAAGAAGATGACATATTGATCATTGAGGAAAAACCCTGCAAGAAGAACAATTTGAGAAATAAGAAATCTCAGGTAAATTGTCGCTGTGTCGTGTGCAATAAAAATTCAGGTTGCTACTGGATACTTTGAGTTTAGCATGACACCTTTTTTGGCAATGCCTTATCAAAGACGCAGGTATGGGGTGCTTTTTCTTTACAAAATCGCAAAGTTTAGGGCTCGGTCCTGTGGGGCTGCGATGACAGATGGTGGCGTCTCGTTTGTGAAGGAGCTTGATGAAAGCGACGCTAAAGAATGTCGGTGGAATTCGTTGCTTGAAAGAGGAGTAAGGGTTAGTGTTGAGGTTTTTAAACAAAAGCATTCACTGAGTTCTTTAGAATGATTCAACGGAGCAGGTGTATCGAATAGGGAAACGGATTCGTTTGACACAGATTCGGCGAGATGTTTGTTTTCTTTTGTTGGTAAATCATATTAATATTTTTAGGGAGTTGTTCGATACGCTTGTGCCGAGAAGGGTGCTCGAGATCATCTCAGAAAAATTGGCCATGTCATTTCTAAACCCGTCCCATTGCGGGAAATTGACATGGAGCTCGTCGAGAAGAATGAGGCCAACAGAAAAAAAGAACAACATGGCCGAGAAATGAATCAGGTTTTACTGTTCAGTAGAGTATTTTTAATTGTTACCGAGCATTTATACGGGTTAGTTTTTCATTATTTTGTGGCCATAGGCTATTGCTTACAATTAGATAAATTGTTCTTATACTTTCAAAAAAAATACGAAATATGTAGATTGATGGTTGAAAGAGGGAAGACGAATGAGTATTCCCACCATCGATTATGATTTATTCAGTTCAGTGCTAGTACACACAAGCTTACATCTTCGTAAATCATGCTTTTTAGTTCACCACTTCAACTGTGAACACGATTTCTCGATAGAAACCATTCTTTCACGGACGTATCTTGGTCGCATGGCCGCTCAATTTGTGTGCTAACCTAGGTATATAGAAAAATTTGGTGTTGCCCTAATCGTGGCTCATTTGCATGCAAAGAAAGAGCATACATACAAGCAGGTGGGACATAGATGGATTTGGATAGACGAAGAAGGGAAAGGGGTGTCCCTTCAGGTAGGCCCAAGGGATCAGAGATTTCTCTCTTCTTTTAATGGTTACGTCATTTACCCATTCTCCCCTTCTTGATACCCTTGTTCTTCTTTCAATTTCCTCCCAAATCTCCCGGTCATCACCTACAAACGAGCAAATAAATCGGCGAACGTTTGAGGATTCATTTTTAACATCTTTCTCTATTGTTAGTAGCCTGTGAGCATGTCAATTTTTAGAAACTACTATAAGCTTGCTTTGAGTTTTCTAAAGTTGACACGTTTTAGAAAACGAACTATTCTCAGTCCCATCACCTTGAATTTCAATTTCGAATATTTTGTTTCACCTTCACTTACTCCTTTTTTTGAAAGCTCGGACTTCCAGCTGAGGATTGGGAAAATATTGCAAGTGATTCCTCTTTTTTTTAGTGTAATCGCACAAAAGAGACAAAATACCCGCGCACGCGAACCAATCATTTCAAGGCTGGGAAGCGAAATTTATGGGATGATTTTCGAGAAATTCATTTTACAATGTAGATTTTAAAGTGCATCTTTTGATAAATTGAGGATGACTGCATTACGGGACTTCTCTACATTTTGACCGCTAGATGCGCAAAGAAAATTGAGCAATATGTCGGATTTGAGTTGAACATCTGGAGGGAAGCGAGAAGTCTTTTTTTCCATCCGGTCAAAGATATAAATGTCACCATTTTACAACCATAACAACACCGCTTTTGCGGGCAACTAATTTGTGCATATTTAAAGATTAACTACAATACTACAAAGCTACCGTAAAGATGATATTGTAATTGTGAACCAGCCTTTCCGAAATCATCGCTTTCTTTTGATAAATATAGCTGAAAATTTTCTATTTGATTAAAAAACCTTTCAGTTTGACTATCTAGTTTTGCTCTGAAACAGATAAAATTTGCAATTTTTTTATATGATAAGAAAATCTGGAAATCCTTCACTCTCATCACTCAAAAATTGATACAGAATACCGTATTTCTATTTCTCTGATTTACAGTAATCTTTAAGGTTGGTTGACTGATAATTGATTATATCCAGCTTTGAAACCTATAAAATTTCGCGTTTTGCTTTGAACTTTCCTCAAATCTCAACATGCAATCAGTTGGATTGAAGGTAATAGCCGGATATTGTTAGAGAAAGAAATGAGATGAGGAAAAAGAGAGGTGCAGCTAAACAAACATCAGTGATGACCTTGTGCCCCTTGAAGGAGACCCTACCATTGCCTAACCATTGAGGATATCGACGGGGGAAATCGAAGAGAAAAGGAAAAGAGAAAGAAAAGAGATATCACTCCTTCCGACCAATCCCTTTTCTTTCTTCTGATCAATCTTTTTGATTGGATCTCCACAATCCCTCATTTTCCTCCAGATCTTTTGAGAGATTGGTTAAAGTTTAAGGGCATTTCTCTCGATTAGTCTTTTATTTTTTTAAAAATAAACTTTTAAACTACCGTAATCTTATTCAAAGTTATTCCAATCCCTGTCTAGGTTTTGTTTCTGAGATTTTTGCTGAGCTGGTAAAGTCAGGAAAGTTTTATCCAATCTAGATATCAATTTTTATATAGTATCCTTTACCACACAGAAATCTAAAAAGATCGAATAAAACTAGAGCCAAGATTACGATAGCTTTTGAACGTTTCCACGTTTTAGAAAGCTTTGGCAGGAAAGGAAATTGTTTTGGCAGAAACACTAGTTCTGCCCAAAATTCCCGAACACCTTGTGTGGGCCACTTCAGTCAATCCAAGCTCCAATGATCGTTCTCCTTTTTTTTCTCACTTACAAGTGAATTGTGTCCCCCATCATTTCCTTTCAAATCACATATGGTTCTCTTCCCATTTCTTTTCCCAAGTAATTTGCTCGACCCGGTCATTGCCCCCCAAAAAAAACCTTTCCCTCCAATCCTCAACTCAGCATCCCGGTTGTCCCTCGATTTATAGCCTTTTCTTTTTTCTGATCACTCAAAAATCTTTCAAAGATTCAAGATTCAAGAATAAAACTTTCTCAATTGCAAAAGTTTAAAAAAAGCAAAACTTTTTTCTCAGTTGACTTTTCTCCTTTTTCCTTTACTTTTTCTCTTAAACAGGAAATATCAAGAATGCTTCACCGAATTTTAACGCCTCACCACTTTTTGAGTTTTCTCTCTATTTTTATGTACTAATTTGCTATTTATCTGCTAATTTGATTGCTATTTATTTGTCTTATTTTTATTTACAATCAATGAGAAGCTCGACTCTTTAAGCAGCTTTAAGCATTTCCGACTCCGCCCCTTCTCAGATTCCCTTTTGCCTACCCCAAAAGCTTTTCACTCTTAAAAGCTGGCAAGAAGGCAATCTTTTATTATTAAATATTTTCTTTCTTTAAAGTGCTCATTTTCAAGCACAATTCTTTAGAAATTCTTTAGAAACAATTAGAAACAGTTACAAAATCGTTATCTAATTGATTTCCTTTGATCTCTTTTAATGTTTATCCATCACAATGAGTTATTAGTGACCGGAAAAAAGTTTCTCTTGACAATGGCAAAGAATGGATGATTTGTGAGTGGGTAATTTGGTCATGGCTTGTCTGCATTCGAAGAATTGAAGACTTGCGCAATCTTTTGTCTCTCTTTTGAAGGCTCTGAGATTTCTCCGAACTATTTGATCTTATCTCTAGCCTTTGGAAAGTTATGAAGGCATTAAAGTGAGTCAGTTGATCGAGAAAGTAGGTATAGATCGAAAAACAACTAATCAAAAACAAATGAGTACTGACTTTTCTGATAACATACTTAACTATTATCATTCAAATTGGTTTTGTTTTGTGTTATAGCGATTGGCAAACTGGTATTGCATTCGTTAAGCTCCGAACTCTTATCTACTTTTGAGAATTCTATTTCTAAACCCAAAACCCACAGCTCGGTTTATTAACAATCCTAACATCTTTGTGGTGATTTTTCCTAGCTTTCTCGAGCTTCTGACCAAATCAATCTAGCTGGCTTGGAACTTTTGAACATTTTGATGAACCCTAGCCGAGTACGAGAGCAAGTATACCTATGTTCTGGATATTCTGGAATAGCCGTCCTTCTTTCTATTCACTTTTTAGGGGTTGTTTCCCCTCGGAATGTCCCATCCTTTGTTCACTTTCTTTTCGAGGACCCATCTTTTCTCTCTTCTCACTCCTCTGAAGAGTGATCACGCATAAAATCGGGACACCAAATTTGTCTGTCTATTTCTCTTTACCTCTATGACCCTAAAGAAGAGAAAAAGAGAAAAGAGAAAAGATTTGTGTTTTCAAAGCATCCCCTTCCACACACATCATGAATACCCTATATGAAGAGTTCTACAAATTCTCCGTCTTTTCTTTTCTTCTACTTTTCAACTAGCTATATCTCACTTTACTAAAAGGAGATTAGTATTCGAGAAGAGTTGGCTTATGAGGGTTTAGCATTGTCATTTTTTGATTTTATATTATCAAAGTTGTTCAAAAAATGATAGAAACCAGGTAGAATTGAGTTTTTTAGGTGAATTCATAAACACTATTCTCTACAAATTTGATTCCTTTTCTCTACAAATTTGACTCCTTTTCCCTACAAATTTGATTCCTTTTCCCTACAAATTTAATTCCTTTTCTCTACCAATTTGGTTCCTTATCTCCACAAACTTGGTTCCTTATCTCTCTAAATTTGCTTCCTTATCTCTTTAAGGTGGGTTCCTTATCTCTACAAATTCAATTCCTTTTCTCTACAAATTTGTTTCCAAATGTTTAACAGCTACTTTAAAAACCATTTCATCAAATCACATTCTATTTTGATCTCAAAATTGACAATCTAGCTTCGAGTTGAAATGATTTGATTTGAAAATTGACTTTAACTAACCCAAATACAGTTCAAATATAATTTTTGACTTTGTCAACTTAATAAACTTGATGTTAACTCTGTTTTTATTTCTCTAATTTGACAAAATATTTTCAGAAAGCCTAGGAACCGAAACGACTTTTCTATTTAACTCCAAAAATTATTTAATTGATGGGTACTTGAGCTACCTTATTGACTACCGTGTTGCCTACCAACTATGCCTCGTTGTACGGTAGTTACAGGTAAAATCTCTCAAAATATCCCAAATCTAAAACCTTTCAGGTGACGGTCACACAGTTGTGACCGGATGGCCTCCAGATAATGAGGATGGTGCCTCGACTTCTTCCAGCCCATCTTTATCTCCACCATCATCACAATCATTCAATTCACCCACAAGGAAATTGTTGCCTAAGAATAGGTTCAAATTATTTGCTTAACAAAAAAAAAGAGATCATAATTTAGACCAAGTATCCGTTTATGGTTTCTCCATAAACAGTTGACATTACCCGTTTGGGCGGTTGTGCTTCCATCGGCTGTTCTGTTGCTTTTGATTGGAATTGTCTTTGGGCTATTGCATCTTCGAATAGATCATCTAGAGCGACATTTTCTTCATTCTTCGTCAAATGAGGTTTCCATTGGTTTGGTGAGTTTTTTAGATGCTCAATCTTTCGCTTTTCATCTATATCGTTTTATATTAGTAATCTTAAAAGGGCAAAAACCTAATCCGAATCTCATAAGGACTTGTTCATTTGTTAGTTGTTTCCATAGAAAGCACAGAGCACAGATAAATTGAATAAAGCTTTCAGTTATTTTTTTCTATCGTAATTCATTTTCTATTTTGCACTAGATTTAATCCAAAAGCCTCAAATTTATCGTTTTATATTGACCTTATGAACTTTTAAAAGGGAAACTTTTAAAAGAGTCCCAAAACTTTGGTAGGGTATACTAGTTACCCTATACAGTTCAACTTTGACCAAAATTTTCTCTATGTTTTTACACTAGAGTGTACTAAGTAAATTGTGGTTTTCTATAACCAAATTTCATAAGGAACATTTTAAAATCAACCTGAAGTCGATCTGACAATTAGAAATCGAGATATGGAGGAGAAGAGAAGAGTCGCCAAACTCCGACTCTCTATACTCCCCCCCCCCTAGACAAATCTCTAGACAAATCTCTAGGGTCATCTCAATTTTGACACTAATTTTCTCTATGTTTTTATCGGTAAATCTAAAAAACAAATTTTACTTTTCTATAACCAAATTTAATGAAGATTCTTGTAGGACTCAAGCCTAATCCCAATCTCTCATCTAGGAAAAGTGAAGGATGAGAGTGAGGGCAGGTGATATCAAGCTGAGACCCAACAAACAATGAATCTCTTTTCTCATTCTCTTTCAAGAAAAGTTCTCTTCTTTCACTTTCCACCTCAACCATACTACTTCAGCTGTTCCGGATGATTGAACTGCTTGAGGGTTTTTGTTTAACTTCTAATAACATTAGGGTGTTCTCAAATACGTAATGCTATAGGAAATGCTATAACTTTTAAGTATAAGGTTTTAAAAATTAGCTTTTTTTTATGAAGGAAAAGCTCTGAAAGCTATTTGCTATTTGAAACAAGAAAAACTATTTCTTCATTCTTCCAAGCTATTTGAAACAAGAAAACTCTGAAAATGAGGATTTTGAAATAAAAAAACTCAGCCTTATGACTTTTATTAACACCATTTTTCTTCTGTCAACTCAACGAATGTCTACGAATGGGCAAAAAGTTTAAATCAATGCATCAATGCAAATTTAAATCACTTAGCCTAACAGTAGTACCATATTTTCTGATTTTTAAAGTAAATCAACTTTAAGGGAACTGAAATAGGGGAGCTGAATATCTTTGTGCGTATTTGTTGCACATCTCATTTCTCCCTTGCACTCAACTGGATCCCTCTTTCCTTGAGTGTCGTGTTTGGGGTCATTTATTGGGCAAATAAGGGAGAATAGCCAGCTCATTTACTAATTCAATCACAATTTTGTTCATCTTTTTTTTCAAAGATTGATTGACAATTGACAATTGACAATAACAATTGACAAAAAATCATAATCACTGAAAATTCTTTTCGCAAACCTTTAAAAGTCTTGTTAATAAAGCCAATTGCTTGATTTTTTTGCTGAACTCAGCATAACTATTCCATTTAGATTTGCCTCAAAAAAAAACAGGTGTTAGAACCATATTCAACGAATCAAAAAATGACAAAGACGCTTTGAGATGCAGCTGTCAAAATTGGTACCTTTAAGGAAGAAAAAGACAAGGGACAATCAATGAGATTCGAGGAAATTAATGTTTTTTTGTGATTTCTATCTATAAAACTAGTTTTTATTGATTGGCTAAGCGTGGGAAATTGATAAAAGAAAAATGTTTTCAATGAATTCCGGGAAAATACATTCAATGAAACGATGAATGGAAAATGCCCATAAATTCTTTTTTTTAAAAAAAAGGAAAAGGATTTTTGGCTAAAGCATACAGTTTTGTACTTTCCCCGCTTTCACTTGAAGAAAAATTAGATTTCTGGAAGCGTAGATTTCTGAAAGATTTCTGAAAGATTTCTGGAAGATTTCCGGCGCCTTCCGCCTTCTATATTTCTGTGTAGGCGTTATCGGAGAATAACACCTGAATTCATGGATTTAAAGCATAGAATTTCTTGGAAAAGCAGCAGTAGCAATAAAGAAGTTCACAAGAAAAAGTAGATTTCTGGAAAGTAAAACCTTTTGCTTTCCGGGCAATTGCTCTAACCACTGAGCTATCCAGTACCTTAATCTGCCAAAATTTAGACATACCTTAACCTGGCTGAATGGGAAAAGGTCTGGTTGTTGTTTTCGAAAAGCATAAGCAAAGCTTAACCAGTTTTAAATTGCCTGGAGTTGGATTTGTGCAAAAGTTAAGATCTTCTTGTCTTGTTAAGTCTTGCTTTTAGATTTCCTCGTATTTGTCTAGCTGTTAGCGATGTAAATTATCTATCCATAGGATTCGTTAAGCTCCGAACTCTTATCTCCTTTTGAGATTTGAGATATCTCCTTCTATTTCTAAACCCAAAACACAGTTCGGTTTATTTTTTGATTAGAAATTCCCATGGAGAGTCCATAATTTCATCCCGTTTCTTCTTTTTTTTGCGAGCGAGTGACCAAAAGTGCCGGCAATTCTCCTTCTTTTTCCTATTGTCGACAGCTGACTAAGCGATTTCCTTTTTCTTCATTAAATCTTTGTCTTTGAATAAATGGCCTTTCCCTCAAGAAAAGAAAAAAGAACGGTGAACAAGACGAATAAAAAGGCTGCCCCATTTTCTTTACAAATTGGCGATTCTTTTTTGAGGATTTGAGAACTGAAATTAAGGGATGAAAGAAAAATCCTTTAAAAACTGAAAACCTTCAAAACTATTGTTTAATCTCATATAATATTCCAGGATTCTCCATCGAACACCACTGAAGCTTTCACAAGAAAGCCACGAGCTGTCCGATATGATCGAGCCCACAATTGTGTCTGCCCGCCAGGTTTGTCCGAAAAACCCCTTTGTGGTCAAGTGGATAAGTGAACGGTCTCTTGCTCGGTACAATCCTGGTTCGATCCCCGCCACATCCCATTGATGAGAGCTCTTTTCAAAGAACTGATCAACTAGATCGTGGCTAGAGAAAGTTGTGTCATATTCAGGTTGGAAAAAGCCTTTAAGTGGATTTCAACTAGGATTTGACTCTACAGAGAAAATTCACACCTTTTGGTGGTTTGAAGAGGCATGAAATCATAAAATGCAAATGAGATCATTGAGGGATGGAAAAGGGGAAGATTGTCGAGGATTTTGAACAAATAATCGTTATGTATTGTTAAAGGGGAAGGGGGGAAGAAAGAAAGGAAGAAAGAAAAGAAAGAAAGAATATGCAATAGTTGATTCACAGACAAAACAGTTTACCAATTTTTGGTATGTTTTATGTTTTTCGAAAAGTAATTAAAGAAATTTCAAAAAAGTAAACATTTATAAAGTTCAAATAAACAAAAGGTCAAAAGATCGGCTAAGAAAATGAAGGTGGAATTAGGCTCGGGACGGAATCTGCCCATGTCTAGTTTGTAACGCTCATGTCTACTTGTTCCTATATTATTGTAAGATTATCTAGAGAAACAAACGAGATCTTGTTCTTTTAACTCTTTCGAGACACTTTAAACCTTCAATCAATCATGCTTTATGACAAATAATTGATGGAGTGATCATTTTGAGTGAACATGAACGATTACACTTTCAAAATCGACTTGATTTTTGGAAAGATTGAGCTCTTTTGAAAGAAGTGAGATCAAAGTTATTTCTTAATACAAGATAACAGAACCATCAGCTTAACTAGGCATTGTGTTCAATTGGATAAGTGATCTTTCTCTTGCCAGTGATCCACCGGGTAATTCTGGTTCGATCACCGCTACGTCCATTGATCCTTTTACTCAATTTCTTTCGACAAAAACATTTTTCCTATTCTACGATCTAGAAACAATTAGTCACACAAAATCTTGGACTCAATTCGGAGATTCGATTGAAAGCAAAGAGACTTTACAATTGAATGAAAGAAAGGAAAGAGAGAGAAGTCCAAACGACAAGCTCATTTGGGTGCCGCTTTGATTTATTGGGGATCTGTCATGAAAAGAAAGAAAGAAAGGATACCCGTTTTCCTTTCTCCTTCTGTTCCATACACCTGAGTACGTAAATAACGAGGCTAGTTTATATCACTTGGGGAATCAGGGATGGGTTGGTTAAAAATCCACGATCCAGAAGTCAGGAAAAGCATCAACAAAAAGTGACTTTAATTTATTGAATAAAGAAATCATTTCTTTTGTTGATAGTTTTTTTTCCAATCAGCTTATCAACTCGGGTTCTGGGCTTAGGTTTTAGCCCAAAAAGTTAGATTGATTTTTTTATTGGTAAACTTGTGTCGAATGAAGGTGAAAGTCTACCACAATTTTTGACGATTATAATGCCTCGAGAAGTCATTTGCCTTTCAAACCAACACCAAGAAACGTTGGCTTATTTGACTTGAATTAATCAAACTGAACCAGATACAACTGAATGTTGAAATTGTTAAGCGAATTGTTAAGCAAATTATTAAGTAAATTGTTAAGCAAATTGTTAAGTAAATTGTTACAAATTGTACAATTGTTAAGAAATTGTTAAGAAATTGTTAAGCAAATTTGAAGCAAATTGTTGAGCAAATTGTTAAGCAAATTGTTGAGCAAATTGTTAAGCAAATTGATCAAATTCCAGGTCCAAAGGGCGACGTTGGACCACCGGGATCACCCGTAAGTTTTCAGCAGAAAATATTCAATAAAGCATGTTAAAATAGGGCGGCGCAAGGATCCATTTGATTGGGAAGTGTGTGCAGAATTTTTTTTTAAAGTTTTAGCTTAGAAATTCCTTAGAAAATGTTGTGCTTGGTGATTCCTATTTTCCAGGGTCTTGCGGGACTTCCAGCTCCATCTATGCTCGGAAGAAGCAGCACGAACAGCAACTTCAACCAACTTCTTATACAGTGTGTAGTGGTAGTCTTACTTTGGTTCTTCTGAGTAGTGTTAGAGCTAGTTTTCCTTCAGTTCTTTTCGTTATCGTTTCGTATTTCTTTGCAGCGTCTGGATCCAGCGATGAAGCGAAAGTTGAGATCTTTTGGATTTCTCTATTCCCCCGGATGGACAAGCGATTCAATTTGAGAGGGCTTCCCGGACCGCCAGGACCGCCCGTAAGTTGTTCAGCTTTGGAATGTTTAGTTAAATTGTTGTTAGTTCAATAAGTTGGCTTAAAGAAGTCAACAAGTAACAGACTTAGAGCCATTGACTCAACTGATCCGTTTTCTAAATCGTATCAACTCTTAAAAGCTTGTAATCTTGACTCTAGCTTTTCAAGCTGCCAATCTACTTTTGTATCTTTAGAAATCTTTAAAGAATTAATTAGAATTAGATCAAGTACATGAATTAGAAGAAAGAGAGACATTTACAGTAATGCAAATAGGATTTCTACGGACTTGGCACTACTTATTGTAAAGTAAAGTGTAACGGATTACGATAAAGATTTCAAGAGTTGTCTCGTTTTAGAAAACATTTTATTGAGAAGTCTACTGTAGCTTAAAATTCAATAAAACAGAATAAAATGCATGTGTTTGAGCTCTCTTTTCCTCTGTCGTCACTCTGTCGTGCTTTTCGCCTTTTCAGCGCAATTCTTCAAAAATTAAACAAACTCTGGAAAAAAAATTGATGTCCGTTATTGCATTATTTCAGGGTTCAAAGGGTCAACGTGGTTATCCCGGATTTCCAGTAGGTTTTTTTTGCCCAAAATGCATGTCTCTCTTTTCCCTTCAAAACTTTTTGCCTATCAGCTTATCAGCTTATCAACCATTTTGGCTTTTATAAATCAAAAGACCACAATGTTTTCGTGATCGTTCAACACTATTTTCCCTAGTATGCACTTTTCGGTTTTTCTTTTCGGCTTTTCATAAGCACACTGTTGCTATTACGATTTTTGCAGGGTCCAATTGGATTGGATGGACCACGAGGATTGCCTGGAGTTCCTGGAATAAAGGTTGGCTTTTTTTCTAAACTACAAATGATAATAAAGTGCTTAAAACTATAATAAATAGCTTTAAAAAGCTATTTATTAATAATTCTTAGATAATTTTATTTATTAATATCTTCGATAATTCTTAGTACTCAAGGGGAAATTGATCATTGGGAGCTTTAAGTGTGACTAGTGACAGCTTTAGGTGTGAAAAATCTTGAGGTAAAATAAGGAAAAGCAAAAATCTAGCAAGATAGCTAGCTTTTCTATGATAGTTTTCTTTTATTTCATGAAAAAAATCCATTTCTCGTTTCTTGTTTCTAGTCTAGTTTCAAATTATGCAAATTTCAAAGCTATCCAAAATAAAGTTTGCTTCCAAAAGTTAGAAATGTTTGATAAAAAATGATATTTGAATTTATTTTTTAGGGTGATCGGGGAGATCGTGGAAATCCAGGACTCCCAGGTTTATCTGGACCAAAAGGAGATAAAGGAGTTTGTCTAAATACGCCGGTTTGATTAAACTTTAAAAGTTAAACAAAGTTTTAGATGACTACTGGCCCAATGCTCGGATCTCCAATGTTGGTGGCTGGACCACCTGGACTTCCAGGTACAAATTTGAATTCAATTGAAAGCTCTAAAAGAGTTGAAAGCTTTAAAAAGATCTCATTGTTGTCAGGTCCACCAGGAAAATCCGGTCGCGACGGTTTAGATGGATTAATTGGGCCAAAGGGTGAACGAGGATTGCCTGGATTTGATGGAGAAAGCAAAGTTTGTTGCATTAGAATTAGATCTAAAGTTCATGTGAAGATGCAATACTTGTAAGATCTCTATGGAATATGAATCTAACTGATCTATATTTCATATAGATGTAACTATAGACCTCAATCTTTCCAGGTCGGTCCAAAAGGAGATCCCGGAGAGCCAGGTCGAGATGGACTTGCCGGGCCACGAGGGCCACCCGGTGAACGAGGGCCTAAGGTTTGTTTGAAAAATAAATCATTGAACAGTTTTCTATAAGCTAATTAGGGTGAATCAAGCACAATCCAGCAACAAGCTTCGCAGTGGCTTCTTCCGGGTCCTGTGGGTCCTCCAGGTCCTCCAGGTACCCCGGGGAGAGCCAGGCCTTCCTGGGCTCTGTACCCAGGGCAGCAAGGTATCCTAATGTGATGAATGAGCTAACATGGAAAGTCTTGCTAACTAAAAAAGCTTCTGAGAATTGTCTGTCTTAAGAAAACTAATAAAAGACCAGTGTTGATACTAAAAAGAAAACGATAACCGACCGCAAATACTGTAATAATCGCGCAATCGCAAAAGTTTTTTCGTATTTTATTTTTTTCCAAGCCTTCATTCTTTCAATGCGTCTTTGATTTCAAAAAAATCTAAATCTCAGCTATTTTTTGATACCAAAGCACGCATTGTAGCTTAAACAATTGTCAAGAAAAACGCGTTCAAAGCTAGCTAACACTTCGTATCATGATTACAGTATTTGAATTTAGTTCGAGAGTTTTTCTGTTTTGAAAACTGTCGACCAAATCAAATGCTTTAACGGTTCACTTTAGGGTGAAAAGGGTGAACGAGGTGAAAGAGGAAATATCGGGCAACCAGGACAACCAGGACAAGCCGGATTTATGCAAAGTGGAAAAATGGGAAGAGGAGATGGACAGCCTGGACCTCCTGGACCACCGGGGAGAGATGGAAGAGATGGGGAGAAAGGCGAAAAGGTTTGTTTTATTTTTTCCATACTTCCAGATTTATCTAACATTTGCTTTGGAAAGAAAAACAGCTGTTGCTTTCGGCACCTTTGTACTATTTTTCCATAACATTTGAGTTTTTCTTAACATTTTTTCTGTAATCTTTAGGGCGATCCGGGAAATCAGGGAAAAATGGGGCCAGAAGGGGCCCAATCGGGCCACCGGGAGGGCTGGCAAGAAGGGACGACGTGTAAGAAAACTCATGCTAAATTAAAAAAAAACTAAATAACAATTCAATTTGATTTTTTTTTTGGCATGTTCACATGTGAAGTGACTGAGTCTTGATTCATTGGGTCTTTGGTGCATCTAATCTTTCATTTTCGAGCATTTCTAATACAACTTTTAGCATTCAAAATGTTCTGTTCAGTTCAGTTTAGTTCAGTTCAAGAAATCGCTTTTTTAACTTTACTAAAGATGTATTTTTTTTAGGGTAAACCAGGTCTTCCAGGCCCACCTGGCTCGAATCAGTTGGGTAATGTCGGGTGATTTGGTTAAAGAGATCCTACCAGCGATCAAAGAGAAGTTAACGGAACTCCGAGTGAAACACGGATACCCTGGACCACCAGGATTGCCAGGACCATTGGTAGGGAACGATGAATTCTATAAATCAAATACCGTAAAAGTTCTAATAGAAGTGCCCTCTATAAGAGCATTGTGTCGGCTAAATGTCTTAGATTCTAGGCTTATATTTTCTTTTCTAAATTCGATCCACTGGGCGTCAACTGACGAGTCACAACCCAGTGTCATCATTCGGTCTCGGCTTAGGGACGAAACCGAACTACTATAACTTTAATCACATGGCATTTGCCACCCAGTGAAGTGACTTTGGTCACGAAACCTTTGGATGATGCTCTGATCCTCGGGTCATGACACCTCTTGTGACAGAAGGATCTTCGGAAGGATCTTCGGAAGGATCTTTGTGAAGGATCTTTGTCACATGATTGTCTTTCTTTTTAAATTTAATTTAAAGATACTTCTTTTAAAAACCAATATTCTCTTACTAATTTTACTTATAATTAAAATACTTTAATTAGATGACAAAAGAAATCACCCATCCTCTCTACTTTCATTTGATACCCAGAAACAAACGTACTGGCGTCAAGATATAAGCGATTCTTTGAGTAAACTTAGATTACTCCTACAGAAGTCTTTTCTATTAGATTCTTTTATTTTTTACGGTAATTTTCAGGGCCCACCAGGCACAAAGGGTGACCGAGGACCACAAGGGATTGCCTGGACATCAAGGAGGGGGGGGGAGAACGAGGAGATCTGGGAGCACCAGGATTACCCGGGCAACCCGTTAGGAAAATCTTTTTTTGAAAGGCAATAGAAACCTTTTAGGGTCAAGTGCTGGAAGTTTCTCCATCAACGAGTGACGGTAAAGGAGTGATGGGACCTCCTGGGCCACCGGGGATTCCCCGGTTTCACCGGGAACACCTGGGGAAAGAGGAGAGAAAGGAGATAGGGGTGATGGATTGCCAGGACACCCAGGAAGTCTTGGTTTTACCGGTTAGTACTTATAATGATCATTCGTTTTCAAAACATTTCACATTTCAAAAGGTATCTCATATGTTTTTGGGTCCTCCCGGTCCGATGGGACTTCGAGGTCCACCAGGAGCTGAAGGAAAGCTAGTATGTTTGAAAATTTATTAAAAATTTAAAAAATCAAACACGTTTGCTGTGAGCAAAAAAGGGAACACTAGATCGATTATAAAATCGATTTGATATTTGATTGCTGTGTGAGGTTTGGAAAGCACGTTTAATCGTTTTGTTGATCATATTTGTGATGTTGTTTAGTGAATGCACATTAACAAGATATGAACTTTTAAATGAAAATAGTTGAAATTTGCTTTGTGTCAAGAAATTGACTTAATTTTCAGGGAAAACAAGGACCAACAGGCCCAAAGGGAGATCCAGGCATAATGGTGAGTGAAATCATATGGAAAACAGATGAAAAAAACTACTAGAAAGTATTGATCTCCTGAAAGAAATTTGGATACTGGTTTAACCATCAATGATTAAATTTATCTTTTAAAATACATTTATTCATATGAATTATGTATAAACAATACAAAAATATCCTTAAAAGAAAAAAAAAACTAGTCACCGGGATCGAACCCGCCGGTCTGGCTCGCCCTCCCGACTAGGAGATGGGGCTCTTAACCAGTCAGCCTTGACAGCCAATTGAGACTACCTGAAAAACTCCTTTTGAAAGAGCTCCATGCTACTGACAAGTGCTCGATCTTGATCTAAAAACTGGGACTTTAACCCTTTTCTACTTGATCTAGTGTAACAAGAATGTCTTCTAGGGTGCTCAAGGCCAAATCGGTCAACCAGGCTCACCCGGAGAGCCAGGTTTACAAGGAGAAAAGGGTGATCAAGGGATTCCCGGTTTGGATGCTCCTTGCCCGATTGGACCCGATGGTTTACCGATGGAATTCTGTGCATGGAAGAACGGTGATGTGAGTTATTTAGAGAGTTTTTTTTTTAACTGAAAATCTAACCCTTACAAATTTCTTCCTAGAGTTCAAATGTTCGCACACATTATGGGTAAGATACGATGCGGAAATTTCCAAAAAAAAAGTCCCTATAAATGTTTGATTCAAAAGTGATTGTTTTCTAACAGTTTGAAGTGATATAATTCTTTCAGTCTGATGAGAATTCTCTTGACAAAGCGGCATTGAAAAAGAAAAAGAGAAGCGATGAAAGAGAGGAGAATTTGGGAAGCAAGCAATCACCGAAAAAACATCACAAAAAGCATCATGGACACGATTTGGCGTGGAATGATTTGGAGAATTTCGAGAATCTAATCATTTAATGAATGAAATTCAATGATTACATCTAATTACTTTTAACTTTTGAAGTGATTCTTTTGTTTTAAAAGCTAACGATAGAAGATGGCGCACAATTGCTCGCACTTTGATCAAATCAGATCAAATTCACATTTTAAACTTTGATCCCTAATCGAAATTCATTGTTTTCTAAGAAAAATGAGCTAGATTTTGGAAATAATAAGTAAAAAGGAATAGATGAAGCTGTTTTTCTTTCATTTTAAGCCAAAAAGGAATAAATGAAGCTGCTTTTCTTTCATTTTAAGCCAAAAAGGAGTAAATGAAGCTGCTTTTCTTTCATTTTAAGCCAAAAAGCAATAAATGAAGCTGCTTTTCTTTCATTTTCTAAGCCATTGAAACTAGTTACAAAAATCAGAAAATCACGATTCCGCCGCAGGAAACGCGTTTCGTAACTTTGCAGCGCTCTAGCAAAAGTTTAGAAACTTTTCTGAACAAATCCAGAAAACACACATTGCAGGAGAAATATATTCAATTTGATAATAAAAAAAAGAATTGGATCGATTGATTGACTCTTCGCTAAGCTGGAGAAGCTGAATTGAGTGCGGGTAGATTGTGCGCCACCGCGTACAGCCAGTTAATGATCTCAGGCAAAAACTTTTGTCTAATTTTACAGGAATATCTTGTCTTTTGTCTGCTTTTCATGTTCTTTTCCCAATTTTTTTGTTTCCTGCGTTTGTTTTGTTTGTTTAAATAATTCGCTTTCTAAAACGTGTTTCAAATTTTCGAAAACTAGTATCTACAGACAAATTTCTATAAAACGAACTTCGAAAGAACGAATTTAAAATTCTGAAACGTGTTTAAAACAAAATTTCTGCGTAGCTGCCCCAAATGAAATCACTGACCGTCCAGGGCAGCTAAGCACAAAATTTGAGCCACATTTTTGGGCCTTTATATCGAAGTTTTCGATTCCAAGCGATTCGTTATCTCGAACTTCGACTGTATAAACTGTTACAGGAACCCAAATGGCTTTAATATAAAGCCAGAAAGGCCTTATATTAAAGGGCAAGCCTTATTCTTAGGTTACTGTAACTGTAGCTAGCTTTTCTCCAATCTATTTGCTTTAATGATTCTATAAAACAGATAGATTTGTAAATAGAGTCAAGATTTCGGTAGGTTTTTGAAAATTGGCCGTTTTAGAAAACCCATTATTGTTGTCTAATCTTTCTTCAGAATTTTCCTTCCAAATATAAGAGAGGTTTGAGCTCGCTTGAGTAATCTACCGTAAATACTGTAATAGTACCCCACTCTCATAATGACGGTGCGGAGTGTTGCGTAGTCTAGCTTTGAACGAGTTTTTCTCGACACTGGTTTATGCTACAATGCGCGCTTAGGTATCAAAAAATAGCCCTGAATTTCAGCTATTTTTTGATACCAACGACGCATTTTTTGAAAGTACGGACGCTTTGAAAAAAATGAAATACTAAAAAACTTTTGCGACTACGCGACTGTACGAGAGGGGGTGGGGTACTATTACAGTATTTACGGTATATGTTTCCTTCAAAAGAGATAAGTCGCTGTTTTTCTTTGCTTTGCGACTTGTAACCCCTATTTAAATCCCTAAAAGTTTTCAGTAAGTAGGAAAGCTGAAATCTCTCTTTTCAGAATCCAGGGGAGTCTTGGGATGGAAGAGAGCGGCGTTCGGTATGAAGAAGTTGAAAAGAGAATTGTTTAAATTCATAAGGAATTCAAAACGAATTCATAGCGAATTCATAACGAATTCATAAAGAATTCATTCAAAACGATATATTAATGATTGAAAGTATTCTTAAACCTCGATAAATCCTATTTTCTGACTGCCACTTAACGGGCTCATTATATTGAATTGAAATTGAATATTGAAAATATTGAATTGAAGTCATTAAAATGAATTTTATGCCATTGAAATCTCTGTATAATTCTTTTGATTTTCATCATTTTTCATGCATTTTCACTTGATCAATCTTTTTTTTGTTCTTATCAAAATTTTATTGAATTTTTCAGTTTTTTTTAAGGCACTTTTACCCTCATTCTCTTGTTTTTTTTTTTTTTTTCTTCTCGTCGTGTGATCAGAATCTGTAATTGATTTTTCAAGTAAAGTCTTTTTTTCTCTTTGTAAGCAATTCGTTCTAACAGTTCTAAAAGTTCTAAAAGTTCTAAAAGGTGGAAAATTTGGAGAATTCTCGTATCTTTTCTTTAGGATTTTGTCAATTCTATTTTTCGGTTCTATTTAATTTTTGATTCAAATCGATTTAGGGTTTCAAATCGATTTAGAGTTTAGCACTCTTCATCGAATAAGATCAGAATTTGGTTTTAGTTGGTGAATTGAATTGAGTGAATTGAATTTAGTGAATCGAACACAAAATCTGAAAGAAAGATTCGTAATTCTCTTTATATTTGGTTGTCCAGTTATGAATGCTATTCAAATGCTATGCTAATCAAATTTTTACTATTCTCTAAATTTCTCAAGATACCGAAATCAAGAAAAAGATATATATGAGTATTATTCGAAAGCTGAAGATCACCTCTACATTTTGATATAAAAAGCTTTTGAATTTGTCGAGCTTTTGGGCAAATTGACTGCACAGAAGAAGAGGTGGCCAAAAAGTGGAAGGGTGCCTTTGGATCAAGTTTTGGCTCCGCTCAAATTGAGTTAACCGTTTGATGTTTGGCCAATAGATATATCAATACAAGTTTTTTTTAAATATAAGAGTTTCAGAGTATCTTTACTTTTCTTTTCTTTTCTGGGCGGTTATTTTACACCATAAAACTTGAGGAATAGCTAAGCTGGAATGGGTTTTTTGAAAACGACCTCTCCCTTTGTGCAGACGAATTCCCAAAAAGTTGAATGAATTGAAAAACTTTTTTATTTCAAAATGTAGAGGAGATGTTCAGCTTTCGAATGAGATATAACACTCATATACCGTATTTCTTCGAATAGAAGACCGGGTAAAGAGTATGATCGCGTACTCCTGCGTAGCAGCCCTTTTTAAAATTTCTTTTCTGCATAAAAGCTTTCAATGAAGTGCTATAGAGCTGGAAAATGGCTCAAAACTCTGTTAGCTCATGTGCTATTTTTGAGCCATTTTCCAGCTCTATAGCACTTGATTGAAAGCTTTTATGCAGAAAAGAAATTTTAAAAGGGGCTGCTACGCAGGAGTACGCGATGATACTCTTTACCCGGTCTTCTATTCGAAGAAATACGGTACATCTCTTCGATATCTTGAGAAATTTACAAAATAGTAAAAACGCGCATTCATAATTGGACAATCCAAAAAGCAAAAAAATTACTCTCTTTATAGCAACTCTTTTTAGCAAATTCACTAATCAAGAAAATGATTTTAGCAATTAAATTTGATCATTTTATTCTTACAAATTGAAAATATCGAAAATACGAAAAAAAAGAAGAAAACACAGCACATTTCACGGAAATTACGAGGGGAAAATCATTTCATACATTGAGCATTGAATTGAGAGAATTGAAAAGATCAAATATTTTGACACGAAATGAAAATAAGATTTTCTAAGAATTCTGGACGAAGATCTTTCCTACAAATTTTCAAAAAAAAACATGACTAAAAACCCAGGTAAAACAAAGGGAATACCCGATAACAGCACCAAAAATGACAGGCAAGAGTTTAGGACAAAGGAAATGGGGAGAAGAAAAGAACCCGATCATTTAAACAAAAATAAATGCAGCTTTTCATTTCATTCTTCCAGCCAAAAGAATAACAGATTCAGCCACTGAAAAGAATTTCTTGATTCATTCATTCAATTTAGTGTTAATCTAGTTCTCGAAAGTTGTTAAACAAAAAATTTTAGCAAAATTTTATTAGAAAGGGAGTAGCTTGAATGCAAATGGTGTTGAAGAGGACAAATAATGTTGCCATTCAAGGCATTTATCGAGGCCATACTCATCGTAAAAGCAATTGATTTAGCTAGCTTTATAGAAAGCTTTATAGAAAAAGCTAAAAACGAGATCTACGAGTTAGACTCAATAATAAAAAGTATATCTTGATCGATCTTGATGCTCATGACCGAAAGTGGATCGCCATCGCCATCGATCAAGATATAGAAAGTACATCTTGATCGATGGCGTTAAAGTTAATAAAAATTTTCCATTTTATCCAGGTACTCTGGATCGATAAACATAAAGTAAAGCATAAGGCCCTATCTTGGCGGCAAGAGGATACGTGTAGATGTAGCGCATTGGTAGAGCCTTAGCCCGCGGTCGGCTAGCGGTCGCGGGTTCGGATCCCGACGCCGATGTTTCTCGGCCAAGTTTTTGGGGCAAGACTTTCAAAATTTTTGAAAATATTGATCACCCTTTTGATCAAAGATCAAGCTTTCTAGTAGATCAAGATTTGTATCGTTTGATTGAGCTCATCAAGTTCTATAGAACTAGCCATAAAATTTGCTTTAACTGAGAAAAGTTAGAATAAATGGTTTGGATTGCCTGGATAAATGCCCTATTTGACAAAATACTTTACTTCTTCAACTTCTCTTGCAAATTCTGAACCTTTTATGTGTTTAGTGAGGATAGATTTGACCAGACATTTGATAGAAGAGAAGAAATGGGAGAGGGAGAGCGAGAGAGAGTGGGGTGAGTGGATAGATAAAGGTGTGGTTTAGTATTGAGACAAGGGTGCAGTCTGGATTGTTCCCACGTCGGCTCCACTTCTGAAATGAAAATAAGCAAGGATAAATTTAACCAAGAGCTAGCCAATCCTCGACAACACTCCACAACAAAGGATTCACTTCAAAGGAAAAAGCCGCTCTACTTAGCACCAATCTAATTCACAATATCAAAATCTGAAAATTCTAAAGGTGACGGGAGGTGGTTGACTTATAAAAATCATATCTTTTGTTATATATTTATATTTCTTACACAGTAAAATCATCGGGCAAATCGGGAACGGGCAAGAAGGCGTATCGAAGGAAGAGAAGCAAAATGAGAAGATTGAGCGATTCGAAGAGGAAAAGGAAGACGTGATCGACACGGGCAAAGATTCGATTCCATTCCTTTTCTACCTCAAATTTCAGAAATTAGCCTTATGATTTAAAAGCTTAGCTTTATGCTTCAGAAGTTAGCTTTATGATTTAAATGATATTACTAAAGTTTCACTTGAACTAAAATCAAATTTGTTCTTTTTTTTTGCCTCAAGCCAGCCGTTGTTGACTCTCACTTGTCGAAAAAAAGAAAAAGTTTGTTTAGCAATTTTTAAATAGAAATTATCTTTAGCGTTTAGCAAATTTCTTTCAAAAATTTCTAACAAATCTAATCTGGCTTGGCTCGAATTGGGAATTGACTTGGCTTCGAAAATCTGTGTGTTTGGCTAGACTGTTAGACTGTAATGAAAACATCTGTTTTTCCTTTTTTTCCCCTTTGACAATTTAAGGTTGTTTTTCTCAGCATAAATCCTTCGATTTTGACTATTTTGATTATCATTCGATGCAGAATAAAATTGCGCATCAAATGATACCAAAATCAAATTAAAATGTAATTTCCATGTAAATTTATGAGGCAAAAGGTTAATTCCCGTCCATAATAGGCCGACTTTAGGCTTTTAGCCAATAACTTTACATGAAAATCACATTTCAAGTTGATTTTGGTATCATTTGATGCACAATTTTATTCTGCATCCAATGATAATCAAAATAGTCAAAAATTAAGGGGTTATGCTGAGAACACACTAAGGACGACACGGACCAACATTTTCGTCAAGCCATAGTAAAGTTTTAACTCAAAAAGATCAAATTTGGATCACGGTATTGGTAGAAATTGGCTATATTTGCAAAAATAGATTGTTACAACAGTACCTAAGCAAGGAGTGTCATGTTAGATTATTTAAATATTTTCTAAAGTCGAATTTCAAAATTCTAGAGAGCTGGAGAAGCTGAATTGAGTGTAAAAATTTGCGGGTAGATTGTGCGCCACCGCGTACAGCCAGTTAATGATCTCAGGCAAAAACTTTTGTCTAATTTTACAGGAATATCTTGTCTTTTGTCTGTTTTTCATGTTCTTTTCCCAATTTTTTTTCGTTTCCTGCGTTTGTTTTGTTTGTTTAAATAATTCGTTTTCTAAAACGTAACCCAAATGACTTTAATGTAAAGCCAGAAAGGCCTTATATTAAAGGGCAAGCCTTATTCTTAGGTTACTGTAACTGTAGCTAGCTTTTCTCTAATCTATTTGCTTTAATGCTTGCTCAAGACTTACCCTTCCATTCCAGGCGGCTCTTTCTATCCGCTCTCGATAAGTTTTCTGTGCTCGTGCCACTTCCGTCAATTGAATGTAAATTGCGGCCAGATCCGGGAATTTCGGTCTAAAATTTTCCCATTCAACCCGATTTTCCCCTTTATTCAAAGCAAGCAACGAAAAGGCTATTTGGCTGAGCTTGGAGAAGAAATTTGTTCACAATTTACCGCAACAATTGCGCTGTTGACGTTTTTACAACGCTTTCTGCGCTAAAATGGAAAACTTGGAGTGAAAAAATTGTTTTGTAAATAATTTTCAAAATGCACTCACGCATTCTTGATCATTTCAATGGGCGCATAGTTGTTCACAGTTATACTGTCGACTTTTTTCATCGGTGACATGATCAGTAAACGATAGGCGGCATTCGAGGGCATTTGCTCGGTCTGGATGTACGACCTGTAATACATTTATGGGTAAGATAAAATTCTCGGATCGGATCGCATTGTTCTGTGAATTTGGCTGCTGTTTTATTGGCGTAATGGTTTGGCGGGATGCGAATTGCAAAACTAGAGCCAAGAGTTGCAAAACTAGAGCCAAGAGTTGCAAAACTACACCCAAGAGTTGCAAAACTAGAGCCAAGAGTTGCAAAACTACACCCAAGAGTTGCAAAACTACACCCAAGAGTTGCAAAACTACACCCAAGAGTTGCAAAACTACACCCAAGAGTTGCAAAACTACACCCAAGAGTTGCAAAACTACACCCAAGAGTTGCAAAACTACACCCAAGAGTTGCAAAACTACACCCAAGAGTTGCAAAACTACACCCAAGAGTTGCAAAACTACACCCAAGAGTTGCAAAACTACACCCAAGAGTTGCAAAACTACACCCAAGAGTTGCAAAACTAGAGCCAAGAATTTGGTATTGAATTTAGTCTAATGAAAAAAAGAAATTGGTATAACGAAGCAGATAATACACGGATTCGCTGCCTCAATCCAATAGGGAAGTACCTTGTACCGGGGACCTTGGCCAAATGGCGAACGATTACGCGAGCACACAAAGAACATTTTTGCATAGGGATTATTTTGTATTGATACAAGATATTCAGCTGTAAGTTTTGCCCGGAGTCGGAGACCAACAAATGCACTTATTTAATGTTACCTTGAAAGCCCAAGAAGAGCCATTGATATCGCGACACCGACTGCGCACAACATAATCACAACAATAATATAGAAACCGAGAAGGGGGATTGAGTTCGATTTGGGCATTGCACCGGCAACTAAATTTGGGATAAAGCTAGAGAAATGAAAAAGTACGTAAAATACCGATATCTAGAAGTACAGTCATCGCCAAGAGTGAGCCAAGCCCAAGGGAAACCTAGAATTTACAATGTTGATTACGTTTGAGAACAGGACTCAATCGAATAATGAATTTTTCTCACCTTTTCATTCCTTGGTCCATCATTTGATCCGGGAGAGAAAATTCCCAAAATTGAGAGCGCTGAGATGAGAAATGTGGGCACAACGATCACTGTCACATAGTAGATCGGTCGACGATTGAGGTGAAGAATGTAATGAACCTGAATTCGGTAATCAGAAATCTAGAAATCTAGAAATCTATTAAGACAATAAACTACGACTTTAAAGAGTTCGTTAAGTAATTGATCTCTTGAAAAGAAGGCATCAATTTTGCTTCAATCAACCTCAACACGATACTCTCCATACTCCATAAATCTCATCTGTCGAACAGTCACATTTATCACTTCCCATTCAGCGTTACCCTGAAATCTTTTATTCAAAAATTGAATTCAAATGGATTTCCGAGCAAAACCGTGTTCTTTCTTGGTAAAGATACTTCTATTCTTTCTTTCTTTCTTTTTTTCTTTCTTTCTTTCTTTCTTTCTCTCTTTCTTTCTTTCTCTCTTTCTTTCTTTCTTTTTACCGCAAAGTAGGCATCATTTGGTGGTTGTGTGGCGTTTACATCCATTTCTTGGACATTCAAGAGTGGAGACGCCAAGGCAACGGCACAAAATTGTGTATCGAAAGGAAATCTGAACATGAAATCGTAAAATTTAACTATTCGATCCTTTACAATTCGATGTTCAATCGACAAAGCACCGAGGTGAAAACGGGCATATTGATTTTCACTTCACCATCGCTTTGCAATCGCACATCAAAGCGATTCTCAGACAACATCTCTTTCGTCTCCATACTGCAATTTGATTTGATACAAATCTTGAATTTGTGATCTTGATATCCTGGTATATATTTATTGGGTTGGTGAATTGAAAACTGCCGGCTATTATCATATGTGAGAGTTTGAGCACTTTCTTCAAAAGAAACCCATTTTGGTGTCAATGGAAAAGTTGTAGAGAATCAAAAATCAAGCTTATATCCAAAGTTTCAGAACGATTCAAAAACTGGTTTTCAGATTTCAGAAGAAATGCCAAATTTACGAATTTTCACAAAACTTGCATTTTAAGCGAAAATACTAAGTGTATCTTTTTGGAAATTTGGCTATAAGCCTGATTTTTGATTCTCTACAACTTTTCTATTAACACCAAAATGGGTTTCTTTTGAAGAAAGTGCTCAAACTGGGACATCTCCAGTCCCCCATTTTTGAGTCTCACACTGACTCGCTCTAAAATAAATAGCCTTGTTTGAGAACTTTTGGCGCATTCCCCATACAGCCCGGACCTTGCCCCTTTTGTTTACTATTTATTTCGGATCATGAGTAATGAGCTTGCGGGAGAACACTTCGATTCGGAAGAAGCAGTCAAAAATTGGCTTTGAAAGTTTTTCGATTCAAAACCAAAATCCTACCACGAAAGAGGAATCCGCAAATTGCCTGTAAAATGGGCAGAAGTCGTCAATAATAATGGAAACTATTTGGAATGAATTGATGGTTTTATGTTGAATAAATTTTAGTTCAAAGTCCCGCAGTTTTCAATTCACCAACCTAATATAATTTCTTGATCTAAATACAGAGAATTGAAAATCTTGATTACCGTGAAGCTACGATCAAAAATATTCAGTCAAAAACTACCGTAACCGAATTGGGGCACAATTTAGAGAAGATAAAATAGAAATTTTAAATGTTTTACTAGCTAATATCGATTTTAAACCTGTTATAGATGAAGATTTTCGGTACCCAGACGAGATTCTGCGGGATGACGACTTGAGTGAGATTGTTGAAGTCTTCTGGATGCCAGGATAACTTTGGTTCTCGCCACTTCTAGAAAGATATCTTTAAAGATCTTTTCTTCTCTTTTTTTGGTTTCTAAGGGGTCTTTTAAAGTATTTAATTTTGTTTTATTTGTTCTCAAAATCGACCTGTACATGTGACATCACAAGAGATGCAATCTGCTGGTTTTCTCTCTGAAATTGAAATTGAAATTGAAATTTTTTATTTTTATTTTTCAAATCGGGGATGGAACGAATGCTACCTTTTTTTTGCACCTGGACATTTGCGCACCTTTTTTTTTGCTGGAAAAGGCCTTAGGCCAGGCCGTAGAGCTTCGAAAATATTTCCATATAAGGGAATCGTATGCGTAGATTCAGAATTTTGACAAATCAGACCTCGCTGACACGTCAAATTTGGGCTAAAAGGCAAAAACTGCGGAAAAGCGTCAAGTTGCGTAGTTTTTGCCTTTTAGCTCAAATTTAACATGTCAGCGAGGTCTGATTTGCTTTGATTTGTCGAAATTCGGAATCTACGCATACGATTCCCTTATATGGAAATATTTTTGAAGCTCTACGACCTTTCCTAAGGCCTTTTCCAGCAAAAAAAAAGGTGCGCAAATGTCCAGGTGCGCAAAAAAAAGATCGCATTTGTCCCACCCCCGTTATTTGTTATTTTTTATTTTTTATTTTTCAAATCTCAATTTTCAGCTACCGCACATCGATTTTTGTCAAAAATTTAAAGATAAAAATCGATTATTCAGCTTTCTTTTTCTTTTCTTTTTGGAGAAACATTGGGGAAAAGAGAATTTTGAGAAAAAAAAAAACATTTAAACTATTTGGGTGGAATAGTGGATAAGCCTGGGAATTTCCTAAAACAAAAAAAAGAGAACAAAAAGAATTCACGTGGATATTGTCGAAAACTCTAGAAAAGATTCGGAAATGAAGAATTTTGGGGATAAAAAAAAGGAGTAAAGAAAAAAAACAGTAAAGAGTTCAACTTTTTCTTAAACTATTTTAAGTACCGTAAACTTATCTCTAGTTTTATTTAATTACTCTACTTTTCTTTTGCATATTTTGATATTCTTTTCTTGAACACTCACAGAAATCCTCTAGAGCTTTTTTTGGAAAGTTTGGAATCGCTTACATCTTTCAGCCAAATCTATCAAGAACTAAACTTTCTTGTCAATCAATTAGTGCTAATGAATTAGATTGTCAATCAATTAGAAATCATTTCTTTCCTTTATTATGATAGTGATTTGTGGACTCTCATAAAGGATAAACAGTTGTTGGGGTCTGGATTCGTTATCCATTCGAGTTTATCCACTCAAATTCCAATTTAAGGTTTAATTTGATAACACTAAATTTACTTTAAAGTCTAATCGCTTACATCTTTCAGGCAAATCTCAGCCAAATCAAGTTAAATAAGAACTAAACTTTCTTTTCAGTCAATTAGTGCTAATGAATTAGATTGTCAATCAATTAGAAATCACAGCTAATGAATATCATTCAATATTTTAACACTTGTAGTTATTTTTTTAAATATTATGTGATTGTGATTAAAGTTTGGAATGTCCTTCCAGACAAGTTTTGATCTCCACCATGTCTGATTTTGGAATGCCCTTCCCGATTTGATCTCCACCAAGTCTGATTTTGGAATGCCCTTCCCGATCTGATCTTCACCAAGTCTGATTTTGGAATGCCCTTCCCGATCTGATCTTCACCAAGTCTGATTTTGGAATGCCCTTCCCGATTTGATCTCCACCATGTCTGATTTTGGAATGCCCTTCCCGATTTGATCTCCACCATGTCTGATTTTAAAAGGGCTACTTCGTTGCATTTTAAGTGACTTTGTGACCCTTTTATCTGGCACATTTTTCATGTCGTTTTCGCGCTTTATTTCTTTCTAAATAAAGTATTTATATCAATGAAACCAAAATTTGATAGATTTTAAGGAAAATCACCTAAATTAAATTAGTTTTTAAGAAATTGACCGTTTTTTTAATTGAAAAGTAACTTTAATGGATTTTAATATGTTTATAAACAAAGCTACTAGACATTTGTATATGTCGGCCTTTTCGTTTATAGGTGTACAACGGAGATTCGCGTCTTTTAAACTCTTTATCAACCTTTTCAAACGTTTTTTTTCCACCGTTTCATAGCATTTTACAAGCTCTATTTAATTGGGGAAAAAACGTTAAGAAAAGACGATTTTAAAGGACTTAAAACGTGAATTTCTGCCGTATACGAATTTGACGAAAGGGCCGATAAAGACAAAGGTACCAATTCGGTGAGAATCCCGAGGACAATCGTCATATGCACCATCACCGGCGAATTCGTTCCCTCAAGCGGCCGAACTCTTTTATCATAATTTCTCGTCAAATGATCCAATAAAGCGGTGACTGTGGCTGAAAATTCGTAAAATTAAGTAAAAATTCAAATGATTTTCTTTCATCAAACAGCACGCATTTCATTTTATTTTTATTTTTTTTTGCATTTTTTGCATTTTTTGCATTTTGTGAGTTTTGTGAGCCAAAAAAAACAGCATTCTCCAGGCAAAATTCGAAATTCGAAATCGACGAATTTAAAGGTGTTTGGTGGAGAAGAAATGGGTAAAATCAACTCTATTTAATATCAAAATTAAATACAAATTACAAATATTTTAGCTTATATTTGACAAATCGACTTAAAAGAGAGTTGAATTGTGCACTCATTTCTACACACACAAAAAAAAAACAAAAACAAAAAGATAGAAGGAGTGCAAACCGCTACCTCTACCTGCTCCGTCCATTGGATGATGATCCGTTTGAAATGTTGAATGCTTGTAATCCCCGTCATCATACTCATCATCAGATTGATAGCCGTCTGAATGAAAGAAACGAAAAATTTGGTTATTTTTGAAAGAGAAATGAAGAGAAAAGCTATTCGCTAAAAGATAGACGGCAAGCGGAAAGGTTTGTGGATAGTTTCATGTCTAGAGATAGATATTTTGCATTTAACTTGACCTGACTTATCAGGCATTTAACTAGAGACCATCTTCAACATGATCAGCTTGGTTTTTGCAAGTCAGATTAGAGTCCAGTCAAAGCCAAAGAGTTTTAGTCTTTCCAATTGGTAAACTCAATAAAATAAATAACTCCAATCGATTCCCTGACCTCGAAAACCCTAGATACAAATTTACAGCTAAATATCTTTGTCTACAAAGCAATCTCTGAGGCCTTTTTGTTAAGGCGGTTTGTTCTTTGTGTGCGGGCACAATCGTTCTTCATCTGGCAAACGCCTCCGGTACAAGGTGTTTCCCTTTGGGGTGGGCACGCAGCGTCTAATTGGCTTTTCTGTTGCATGACTGTCCTAAACTGCCGAGAACACTCTTTGCCCCAAATTTAACCAAAAGATATTTAGCTGTAAATTTGTATGAGGGTTTTCGAGGTCAAGGGAATCGATTGGAGCTATTCATTTTATTGAGTTTACCAATTAGAAAGACAAAAACTCTTTAGCTTTGGCTGGCCTCTAATCTAATTTTTACTAATACTCCAACCGTTAAGCGAAAACGAGATATTCATGGTACAATTAACCATACCTTCAATTTCTTTCAATTAACCGGTACAAGGTGTTGTACCGGTTAATCTCCAACCCTTTGGGGTTGGAGAAACAGCGTCAAGCGACGAGTTGGCCTTGCTCTTATGGGCATTCCTGGCCCATAACTCCTGAGAGCACTCTTTGCCCCAAATTTGGCTGGATTTTTACTAGTATTCTAAGCGTTAAGCTCGTCATCCTGCTAAGCGAAAGCAAGAAATCCAAGTTTGAAACTAACCTTACCTTCGCTTTTTTATTTTAGTCCTTCCTGATTACTGTTTAAAGGGAGTAATTGTGGTTCTAGTTTTCCGTAATATTTAAAAAACCATTTCTTACTTTTAATCTAGCAGACAATATTTTAGTTTCTTTTCCCAAAGTCCAGTGTCCCACAAAGGGACTGAAAGGCAAACAATGTTCTCATCGAAATTCAATCTCCAAAAGCTGTTCCTTTTTTTTTGCTGACTTTTGATTATTAAAGAAATTTACTAATCAAAGCCGACTATTGTAAATTTAAGAAATCTAAGAATAGGAATACGATGCACAACATGAACACAACATACAATAGGAAATCTTTGAGAGAACATGCAGAATCGGCAAACAGTTAGTGAGCTCATCATTTAGCAAAGGAGCTAAACAGAAATCGAATCAATGATAAATCGATAATCAAGTATATTTTATATTTTATACAGGGTGCGTCATAATTATTGTAACAAGAGTTCAAAGACCGTTTGTGATGTCAAGAATGTGATGTCATGGGCGTGTAAAGCCAATAACAATCAAAATTGGACCTTCATGCAAGATGGAGCTCCCGCTCACACGAAGAAGACGGTTCAGGACTGGTGTGTGGCCAACTTTCCCTCAGTGATCACCAAGGATGAATGGCCTCCAAACTCACCGGATCTCAATGTGATGGACTTTTCCATTTGGGCAATCTTAGAGGCTAATGTCTGCTCCTCGAAAACACACAAATTTGGATTCTTTGAAGAAGTCTTTGACCAAAGGATGGAAGGCGACTCCTCAAGATGACATTCGGGCCGCAGTGGAGGCATATCCGAACCGATTAAGGGCTGTTATCAAGGCAAAAGGCGATCATATCGAATGATCTCTTGTTTCCTTATTTTTTACTGTTAAATAAAGCTATTTCTGTTTAAAAATCTTCTTCCAGTGAAACTTCTTGGTGTGCAATGCCTTGAGTATCTTGTTGCAATAATTATGACGCACCCTGTATATTTAAATCATGATAAATATCTTATTTCTCAAATCTGATATCTTAGATATTTCACTTACTCTTTTTGTGTCGATGTCTTTTTGGATTCCCGATGGATTTGGTTGATGTTCTTGCCGGGATCACTCCGGATAATGTCGATGTGCAAAGGATTGGAGATAGGAAATAAAATGATATAAACAATAGAAATAATCGCATTCTAAAAAATTTTTTATAAAATATAAATACGAAATATTTTCTTTTGTTAAAGAAAAAGCGAAGAAAATAGAAAAGAAATTCTTTGTTAAATCAAAACAAATCATTTCCAATTTCGAAAACAGACTTCACGTTAACCTTAGATTAAAATAAGCTAAGATTACGGTTTTCATGTTTTAGAAAACGGAGTCGAATCATCGTATCAAGAGAAATCGAAAGAGAAATGAGAGAAGAAAAGCAAATCCCCATTTCCTTTTTCAACTTCATTCTATTCACTTCAATTATTTCCATCAAGCCTTTTTTTTCTTCTTCATCACACATGAAAAGCCTTTAAACTCTGTTTTTGATCATCAAAAGGTTGCAACTTCAATTGAAAGTGTGCTTTTTGTGTTTTCTTGCGATAACTTTTATTTGCAAAAGAGAGATAGACTTTAAAGATAGTCTGACTAAGTTAACTACCTCTGAAGAAAGGAGATCGAGTGCGTTCTGGTGTAATGGTTAGCACAGCTGTCCGGTAAGGGTCCCAGGTCCGAGTCCCGGTGGCCCACAAGTTTTTGATCTGCCCTGGTTCCAACATTCTTCCGTGGTCGTCAGTTCGACTTAAGGCAGACCAAAAACTTATGCCCGCCGGGACTCGAACCCGCTACCTTTCGCTTACCGACCATTACACCACAAAGCACTCGATTTCCCTTTCTCCAGAGGTAGTGAACTACTACACAAAATACTATATTTCAAGGGTTCATCTTGTCGCAAAGTTATTAATAATATTGTTTTAAAAAGCAATCCTAGAAAAAAAGCAATCTCAACTCGGAAACAGATTCGAAAAAACTATCGGATGCATTTAGAAATTGACCTCAATTTGATTTCATTGTTGAAAACTTGTTACTTTTAAAATTCTTGATTGAATCAATATCGATAAATACTCACAAAGATCCCTTTCACCCTTAAATTCCTATTCTTCTCTTTTTAGCACAACTTTCATTCAACAATCAGCCCATTTCTGGATTTTTTCTCTTTCTTTTCTTTCATCTTTTCCCTTTCTTTTCTCATCAATGTTTGCGACTTTGATTTCGGTTTTCCCAAGTCTAGAACTCTTGCTTTTCCCTCAAATAAAGTTATTTTAAGCTTTACTAAGTTTCCTAATCATTTTTAAGTCTCAAACTTTGCTAAATGGCAACATTCTATTGACGTTATGCAGTATCATTCTTCATTAGTCAACGGCTTGACTTGATGATTTCAATCCTCAAAAACTAAACGAGTGTGACTCATTGATTACCCCTCCACATTTAGACATTCTACACCTAGATTCAATGACAAAGAAAACCTTTTTTTGTTGAGAAAATTCAACAATCACAAGTGCATGGGAAAACGAGGAGAAGGAGATGTCTGTGCGAACCCGGAACTCTCCTCTTTTTCCTTTATTTCCCATTAGCTCATCTCAAATTTCCACCCCTCAAATACTCAAGAGAATTTGAGGAGAAGATAAAAAAAGAAAAATAATCATTAATGAAATCAATTGGCACTTATCTGAAAAAGAATTTGATACAAAGTTTTATGAAAAAGTACAGAACTTTGAGTTTAATAAGACTAAGAGGACATAATTTTCATTTTCAAAAATCTATTGAACAAAAAGAGTGGGGTTTTTTTTAGTTAAAGAGTTCAGAGAGTTTTCAGAAGATGATTGAAAGAGAAGGTTGGGGAAAACGATCTTCGACACGTTCTTTTGGACTTTTTGGTGGGTGGATGGTGGAGAATGGGGTACTTGTGAATAAGAAAAAGGGGAAAAAGGGGGGGAAGGTGAGAGTTGAATTGGTAAGTGATAAACAATGTAAATAGAGTTGTTATCTTGATTAGAGATGGGTTTTTTTTTCAATCAGGCCAACTAACTCAGGAATATTGTGGTCGGGAAGCAAATTTTGATCTTGATCTTGATCAAAAACTGAAACTGAAACACTGGGGAAACTTTGGAGTCTTTGGAGTGGACAAGGGCCAATTGGCTTTGAAGCTGGCTTCAAAGCCAATTGAGTCTTTGGAGTAGACAAGGAGTCTTTGGAGTAGACAAGGACCTTTGGAGTCTTTGGAGTCTTTGGAGTAGACAAGGACCTTTAGCTTTGAAGCTGCTTAGATTGGTAACAGTAATTAATTTAATGTTTTTAATCATTTAACTTAGCATGTTTGATGATTGAAAATATCAACGCTCGTTTGAAAACACTTCTAAACACATTCTAAATCTTCTAAGCACTTCTAAACACATTCTAAATCTTCTAAACACTTCTAAACACATTCTAAAGCTTCTAAACACTTCAAAATAAATTTCGATGAAGTAGATGAAGCTAGATGAAGCTTGAAAAGTATCAAAAATATCAGCTTTATCAGATTCCGCATTCTATTTTGAACAAATGAATTGAAAAGATTGGGAAAATGGGAAATGGGAAATTGGAAATGGGAAAATTTCTCTGCTCTTTCAAAATCATAACCTAAATTTGAATCAACTTTTGAGTCATTTTTTGGTCGTTGATCAGATGAAAGTTGATCCATTGACAAATGGAGAGACTGAACAAAAAAAGAGGGACAAAGTCTGAAGACAGAAAAGCAAAAGGGGAATGGGGCAAAGCTTCAGGTGGGTTCTCTTTCATTTCGATCTCTTTTTCCCAAAACAAATGTCTATATTTTCGTTGATTTATAGGCCATTATCAGTAAAGGAAAGGAGTAAAGAAAAGATTTCCCTTTGAAATGAATAAAGGGGAACCGGAACTTTGTTTTTTGAAGTCAATGAGCCATGTATTGAGCTATGAACATAAAGAAATATCAAAATATAGAGAACATGATGACGGGATTTTATCCATGAATGAATCTACGAAAAATGAAAAAAGAATAAAAGAAAATTGAAGAGGTTAAAGAATTGTAGAGATTGTGAAGAGAGCTTTATGATGAACATTGATTACATTAAACATTACAATTACCGTATTTTCTGTAATAGTAGTGCAGGCTGGAGGGGGGTTGAAAAAATAGTAGTGCGCACTACTATTACAGAAAATACGGTATATGAAAAGAGGTATGAAAGAATTAGAATCTGAGTAAAAGAGTAAAAGATAAGAGATAAAAGTGAAAGAATCTCATATTATTAGATCAATAGTACTATAAGTTTTAACTAGTTAAGTTTTTAAAACTCTCCATCTCAATGCAAATCATTGACTGCAAATTTAAGTGCAAATCATTGACTTCGAAGTCTGTCTTGAATTTGCTATCATCCGATTCAGCTTAACGAGCTCTATAACTTTTAAATGAATCAAAAATAGTTAAATAGAATCTAGGGGAATTCTAGAACAAGAGTAAATAAGTGAGAAGTGAGTTCAGTGTCCAAAATGGGAGACTGAAGGGGAAAGTAGGTGGTTCTTGTAAGGACACTTAACGAAAGAAACCAAAAATCCATGAACATCTTTTTCAAAAAACCCTTTGCACTCATCAATGTAAAGGGAAAAGAAACAGCTTTAAGAGGAATGAAGAATAAAGAGAGAGAAAGGAAAGCAGGAAAGCAGGAATAAAGAAGGAAAGCCCCCGCAACCATTAACAGGTGAAATT